TAATCACCGTAATCTACATTTTATTTCAGCAAAACAAATTGAAGATGTAAGAAACAACTCTCTCAATTTGGAAAGAAAAGTTTTTACACTTCAAAAATATTTTAACCCATTTTCCCTCTTTTTTTAGTTTATTTATAGACTTTTACAATTATTCTAGAAGCTTCCTACTTAATTCTTCATGCTGGGCTAATCTTTTAGACTTGTCCTGAATATGAGCTTACTTCATTTGCTCTGAGGTTGGGCTTTAGGACTGACTGAGTGGGTACTGGGCTGGTAAGTGTTGATCCGATTGGATCAAGTGTCATTTCTAGACCCGTTTTCAACAATTTGGGTCGCACCCAGCCCAAGTCATTTTTGGTATCTTCACAAATATATATATATATATTTCAATAACTTTTATTTAATTTTATATTTTTTTGTGATACCCCCGGATTTCCGAATGCGGGTTGGCCAGGCCCACACCTGAATACCCGAGGATATCAAAACAAATTGATAATAAACGAACACAGAGTACAAAAGAATAAAAAAGAGTAAATGAAATGCTGACAAGAAACTAAAATGATAATCTAATAATAAACCTCAGAATATATTTCCATTAATTAATAAACTCTTCTGATACAACTGATCCTCCAAAATACAACTCGGGAATCCATACTGTGTGGACCCCTAGAAAATCCAAACTAAACAAATGACAGCAATAACTGTCTAAATCAGGAAACTGAATCATAAATGAACTCCTATGTAGCATCGGAAGAATGAAGTAGACTGATCCCCGCTCAGTATGAACAACCTCTACTCCTGACGAGCACCTGAAAAATAATGGTGGGTCAGGCTCACAAACAAGTTCTACTCTATTACAGTCCAAACAGAGATCTGATACACATATACATCCTAGTCAATCCAACAGTAACTAGTAGTCCGTATATATATATACACACACTAAAGGAACCTCACTAGACTATAGGGTTGTCTCAACCTGAATAGTAGGCAACATGCAAAACGCACATATAGTGGGCATGAGTACTTAGACCTACCAGGGTACACTACTACACTATATCTAACTACACATCTCTGGCGATATACGCGCCCTAACCACTGATCCTGAGACTCAAGCTCATATCATGGCACCATACATATATATATATATAATCTAGTAACCATCTTATCTAGTATAAATTAATCCTCCATAAGTCATTCAACTTGTTCAGCTGACCTGACTTGAATATAAGTAGGACTTAACCTTTTAGTTAATCCATTCCCTTATATAATAAATTAATCCTCCATAAGTCATTCAATTTGTTCTGCTGATCTGACTTGAATATAAGTAGGACTTAACATTTTAGTTAATCTATTCCCTTATATAAAATAGGTAGGACTTAACTGATAAGTTAATCCGTCCCTAGAATGCCACCGTCTCATACCGGTGCATTAAACCACACAATCCAACAATTGATGTAACGATTAAGGAAATATATCAAATAATCCAGAAATAACTATGATAATATGATATCAAGTTATCACAAAATATGAATGACTTATTATTTATTTAAGCTTCTTATATCATATGTCCTACACAAACTGAATCTTATACATAATGATATTTTATTATACCATCAAATAAGCATTCTCCATATCCAATTCATCCTACACATTTAATCTTAATTGCTAAAACATTTTAAAAGATTAAATCAATTCGTTTGTTTAAAACATTCAAATAGCAAGCATCATTATGATTGAGTCTATTTAAATTTATTTAAACCCAAACCTAGTTCCTATTTAATGTTTAGAAACCTTAAGCATGTTTATACGTTCCATCATTCCACAAATATGAAAAATATATAATGTAAACATATAAAAATTCACACTAGAAATCAAATCAAAATTATGCATTTATCAATTCATGATATAAGAACAGATATGAACCAATTTCATAAAACCTATATTCTAATCCAATTAAACATGCATAATTATTTAATTTTATGTGTTTAATAAATCTTAGAATTTCCTAGGCATGTACAGAAACACGAATCAAAGGGAAAGAGATAGAAGAAGAACTTGCCTTAAACTTTTGGATCGAAAGTTAAACTTCTTCTTCCTTGACCTTCTCTCTACAGGGTTTTTTTTTCCTCCTTCCTTCCTTTTCCTCCTTCCCTCTCTAATTCTCTCTCTATCTCTAGAATATATCACGTGAATATTTCTGACCCCCTTTTACAACCTATAGCTATATATTTATAGGCTAAATAAAATAACCCTAACCCTTTTCCCAATCTAAGTCAACTTAAAAAAAATAAATATCAAAATATTAAAAAGGTAAGTAAAATATGTTACGTATATAATTTATTAAACGTTTATTAAATAAATAAATTATACACATTCCATTATTTATTAATGGATTATCCAATAATACTTAAGTTACCATAATATTATAAAGTAACTTAAAACATAACACGTGTCAAATCTATGTATATTTTTATTATTTAAATATAAAACATATACATCAGATTAAATATTATTACCCAAGTTACCATAAAAGTAATTAATAAATTACTTTCCTTTTTATATATTTATATAATATATATCTATATATATACATACACAACTATCCATGGGTAATAATCCATACACATCCAACCTCCTATCCAAATAGTCCATGGGACCCAATTGGTTGGCCCATTACTACTAACCATAATCATAAAAGAAAAATAAAATAAAATAATAAAAGAAAAGAAAATATTTAATTTATAATTAATCAAAACACAATTTAAGCACATAATCTAATTAAACAATTAACACATAGACAAATACAAATAATACATAGACACGTAATCAAATAATTAAGTAATACCTAATTCAATTAAGCAATTAGTCAAATAATTAATTAAATAATTAAAAATACAATTAAAACAAATAAATAAATACCGAGACTATCCTTTTAAAATTAGGGGTATTACATTTTTTGTGTCAATTATGTCTACTAGAAAATTTGAATCTGGGCATGAAAAAAGAAAAAAGAAAAAAAAAAACGAATCTGAATTGGATTTGAAATCTGCAGAAATTGAATCTGAAACAATTTATATCAACATGCCAAGCTTTTTGAAGATGAAAATCTTTTCAAAACTTGAAAAAAAAATTCATATCAAGAACTTTGACAAGCTAAAGTACTTAATATAGGGTAAAGCTCTAAAGTTACTTCTTGAAAATTAAAAAATACTTACAAAAAGCATGCTTTTAAGTGAATTCCATGGTGTTGGAAGGGGCTTGCCATGAAGTACCTAATACTCTGCTTTCACGAGTAGATTCTCAAATAGGATTAGTAAATTTGTGAAAAGAAGAGATAGGGTACTGAGTGGTGAATTTTTCAGAAATAAATTGCTAATTTTTTTTTATTAATTACCCAAATAGGATTTTCTATGCCTTAATCACTCAATTGTCTAAAGAAACATTGTTAGTTAACTAAAATTGAATTAAACAACAGTTGATTTTAGTTAATATATTTTTATTTAGCCCACCTGAGAAATCTTAGATCTGCCCTATTAATAATGGTTTGTTAATATAAAAGTTAGTGTAGGATTATCAATTTTGTATATGTACTGTGTAAGAACAATACTTAGGTTCCCACTCTACACCATACTCACTATTTATGGATATGCTATTTTTAATTAGTAAATTTAATATGGTGGGTAGATATCCACTTATTTTTTAATTAAAATAGAATACATTCATTTATTATTATCAACATTACCGGTCAGCATGGGTATATATTCTTAGGAACGTGATGATTTAGTTTTTATAAATTCCATACAAAAAGATTAAAGTGTAAATTGCACCGACAGCCCATTAAAATTTCAGTCAACACCACTCAGTGGCTGATCAACAACTTTTTTTACATTGACACCCCTACCATTTGAAATGTCATAAATGCCCCTGAATTTTTTAATTCAATTTTATTAAGAAAATATTAATCATGTCAATTTACTATACTAGCCATTCTTATGCTGAAAAATTACAACACATATAACTTTAAAATGAACAAACCCTAAAATTGTAGACAATAGTGAGAGGAGGATGAGGAATGGCGGGTATGAGGCGAAAATCAAACGGCGGTGGTACATGGTTGGAGATCAAAGGGCGGGAGAATTGGTAGAGAGTGGGGTGGTGTATATATGTGTGTGCAGACATTACATGTTGGAAGGTATACATAAATGTATATATACATACATTTATGTGTGTGTGAAGGAATAGAGGAAAGAAGATGTGGTGGTTGCGGGTAGGGGTGGGGGTTGCAGGAATGTGGGTAGGTGTCTGAGGTCCAGAGGTTAGAGTATTAATATATAAAAAAAAGAGAAAAGAGAGAATTGCATAAAGGCTTGAATGAGATGAATTACCCATTCACAGTTCTAGTATTTATAGATAAAATGAGCACATACTCATATTACAAGAAAGGAAACTAAATCAAATCATTGCATATTCTATGCCTAGACATATGTGTAAATAAAGTCAAATACATGATTTGTGGCTATCATATCTCATAGATAATATCGTAAGTCACATCCCATGATTTGGGCCTATCATATCTCGGCTATTATGGTAAGTTATACCATAAATCATGATATCATAAATGCTAACACTCCCCCTCAAGTTGGTGCGTGGATATCTGAAATGCCCAACTTGGACAATGCATTCTTAAACACAATCTTGCTGACGCCCTTTGTAAGAATGTCTACAAGCTGCTGAGAGCTTGTGACAAACAGAGTGCAAATTTGACCAGAGATGATCTTCTATCGAATGAAGTAACGGTCCACCTCTATATGCTTAGTCCTGTCATGCTGAACGGGATTTACTGCTATGCTAATGGCAGACTTGTTGTCGCAGTAGAGTGAGAATGGAAGCGACACTAGAAGGCACAAGTCTGTCATCAAGGTTTTCAGCCAAAGTAACTCACCTACCCCAAGAGCCATAGCCCTATACTCTGCCTCTGCACTAGATCGAGAGATAACATCCTACTTCTTACTGCGCCAAGTAACCAAGTTACCACCAATAGTGGTACAATAACCTGAAGTAAACCTCCTATCTGAAATTGATCCTGCATAATCAGCATCTGTCCAAGCTTCAACACGTAAGTGACCATGATTAGCAAACAAAATACCACAGCCTAGACACCCTTTTAAGTAACGAAGAATCCGAATAGTTGCATCAAGGTGTGGGGCACGAGGAGAGTGCATGAATTGACTCACGACAATCATGGCATAAGCAATGTTAGGTCGAGTCATGGATAAATAGATGAGCTTCCCCACAAGTCGTTAATACTGACCAATATCTGACAACAACTCCCCCTCAGAATCAGCCAACCGATGATTCTGCTCAATTGGAGTATCAGCAGGACGAGCGCCAAGCTGACCAGAAGCAGAAAGCAAGTCAAGAACATACTTGCGTTGAAAGATGAAAATGCCAGTCTTGGAGCGAGCCACCTCAATGCCCAAGAAGTATCGTAGGAGACCAAGATCCTAAATTTTAAATTAATGGCCAAAATAGCTCTTAACTTCATTAATTCCGGTAGTATCATCACCGGTAAGAATAATATCATCGACATACATAATGAGAGCAACTGTTTTACCGCCTAAATGACGTAAAAACAAGGTATGATCAGCTGCACTTTGATGGAAACCAAACTTGAGCATAGCAATGCCAAAGCGATCAGACCAAGCTCAAGGAGATAGCTTGAGGCCATATAGAAAACAACGAAGACAACATACCATACCAGAATGAGTAGGAGAACAAAAGCCCGGAGGTGGAACCATGTACACCTCCTCCTGCAAATCACCATTAAGAAAGGCATTCTTGACATCTAACTGAAATAGAGGCCAAGATCAAATTACAGCAACGGAAAATAATACACGGATGGTATTCATCTTGGCAACAGAGGCAAAAGTCTCTTGATAATCTATAACATAAGTCTGAGCATAACCCTTGGCAACCAATCGGGCCTTGTAACGAGCAACTGACCCATCTGGATTATGCTTGACTGTAAACACCCAACGACAACCCACAGCCTTTCGTCCAATAGGAAGCGGAACCATGTCCCAAGTCTGATTTTTCTCAAGTGCTTGTAGTTCTTCTGTCATAGCATCACGCCATTGAGGTTGTGCTAGCGCATCTGCAACATTGGAAGGAATAGGAACCGAGGCAACAGAAACAAGAAAACTTCGATAGAAGGGTGAGAGAGCATAATCAGAAATAAAATTAGAAATAGGGTAAGTACAAGAACGTTTATCCTTTCAAAGAGCAATGAGGCGATCATCAAGCGAAACAATAGCTTAAGAAGGCGGAGTTGGTGCCGAAGGAACAGGGCAGTTGATCGTGGAAGTAGAAGCTTGTACCTGTTGTCTCCGATTATAAACCTGTGAAAAAGGAACAATTCCCCCTGCTGGAGGGGTATCACGAGGAGGAATTATAGAAGAAGAAACAGGTAATGGTAGAGGAGTTGAAGACGGAAGAAAGTGATCATCCATTATATTCAGTGGGAACCATTCACTCTGAGAACCAACTGAACCACTATAGTATGGTGTATGCTCAAAGAAAGAAACATCCATGGATATAAACAGCCAACGACTGGGAGGATGGTAACACCTATAACCTTTTTGAGAGTGAGAATAGCCCAAAAGCACACACTTCAAAGCCTTGGGGTCAAGCTTTGTACGAGTTTGCCCCAACTGCTGAACAAAGCACACACACCCCAAAGACTCGTGGAGGAATAAAAAATAGAGATGAATTGGGATGTAAGATTGAGAGTGGGGCTGCAAAGTTAAGAATCTTAGAAGGAGTCCTATTAATGATGTAAACAGCGGTAAGAACTGCATCTCCCCAAAATGACTGGGGAACATTCATGCCAATGCAGATTGCTCTCGCTAAGTCAAGGATGTGGCGATTCTTTCTCTCAGAACGACCATTCTGTTGAAGAGTTTTAACATTAGCCAGCTGATGCGCAATCCCAAATTCTGTACATAACCGTTGTACCTCCCCATAAGTGTACTCTGTACCCTGCTCAGATCGGAATTTTTTAATGGTACGACCAAATTGAGTCTGAACCATTGTCATAAAATTTTTAAAAATGGTGTATACCTCATTTTTGGTTTTCATAAGATAAACCTAAGTAACACGACTATGATCATCAATGAACAACACGAAATATCGAAATCTAAGACTAGAAGTAACTGGGCAAGGACCCCACACATCTGAATGAACAAAATCAAAAGGTGTTAAAGTAGATTTATTACCATGTTTAGCCATATGACATGTTTCACAGGATAAATCTGACACTACCACGTTACAAAATAAGGAAGGAAATAAATGTTTCAAATAACTAAAAGAAATATGTCTTAAACGCATGTGCCAACACATAAGCTGGGCTTTATTAGATGAAACTATATTAGAAAATGAAGCTGAATGTGCTTGCGGCGACAAAGGAGTATCCAACAGGTATAAACCGTCCACTTCACGCCCACTGCCAATCTCTGTTTCGACACCAGATCCTGAAAAATACAATGAGAGGGAAAGAACGTTACACTACAATTTAATTGTTTGGTAACGCTACTAACAGAAATAAGATTTATAGTCAACTTTGGAACATGAAGTGTATTTGACAAAATTAATGAAGGAGTAACTGATATGTGACCCTTCCCAGCAATGGAAGATGGAGAACCATCCGCAAGGTGGACCTTGCGTTGGCCAGAGCAAATACTATAAGATTGGAAGAGTGAAGACATACCAGTCATATTGTCTGAAGCACCAGAATCAATGATCCATGAAGATGTAGATACGCTATGTGCAGACGTAATAGTACCTGAGTGGGTATAAGTGGAGGTTGGCTGAGATGATGCCTCCATTTGGTTGAAGAATTGCTTGAACTTGTCCAAATCAACTTGAGTCAAGGTAACTGTGGCAGAAGATGTAGAGGCAGGGTTGTCAGGAGTTGACAACGAGACTGGTTGTGTAACAGAATGTGCAGAGGATCGAGGCTGTTGTTTCTGTTGCGGTGGACGTCCATGTAGAGCATAACAACGAGATTTGATGTGACCAATTTTTCCGCAATGGTCACACCGTCTACGTTGTCGTCCTAGAGGAGAATCGGTGGTAGTGCTCTGAACTGACTGGGATGGTGAAGTTCCTGAAAGGTTGGGAATCCGAACTGCCATAGCAGAACGATCAACAGAAGCAACACCTAATGGATGAGTCCGGCGGCTCTCATCTGACAACACATAAGAATATGTATCCTCAAGAGTAGGGAATGAAGATAAGCCCAATAAATGAACACGAGCATACTCAAACTTGTCGTTCAACCCGGCAAGAAACTGAAACATTCGATTCTTCTCCATAATTCCTGTATATAAAACTACATCATCTGGATCTTCCAAGAGTGGAAGGAATCATAATATGACATCTCCTCCCAAATAGCACGAAGCTTGGCGATGTAACCTGAAACTGTCAAGTCACCCTGAGAAATCCTGGTGATATCTCGCCCCAGCTGAAAAATTCGTGCATTATTTTGCCTCTGAGAATAAGTGCGTTGAACTGAATCCCAAATCTGCTTAGCAGTCTTCATAAACATATAGTCAACAGCTATGTTTGGTTGCATCGAATTGACTAGCCAGGACATAACCATAGCGTTATCTGCAAACCACTGTGGATATGCCTTCTCTGACTTAGCTGGCTCTTTCTCAGAACCAGTAATATAGCCAATCTTGCCTTTGCCACCAATGAACATCTTGGCAGATTGTGCCCAAATCAAATAGTTGGAACCATCCAACTTCACTGTGGTGATTTGAAGTCCTGGATTTTCTGATGAGTTGGTGGGAAAAATGGCACCACCACCCACATAACGTGAGCCAAGAGAATTAACAGTCGAGAATCCTGAATCTGCCATAATCTGTCACACGACAATAAAAAGAACTCCAAAAACACCACAAATTCTGTTAATAAATCAAAGGGTCTCCTAAGATCATAAACAATGTCTCCTCAGACCATTTCCGAAAAATCCAAATACATACCTTTTTTAAGGAGCGCTGCCCGCTTACATATAGCCAGACAGCCTTGTTCTTTATATTCGGAACCTCTTTGTAAACTAATTTTTTTTTTACCCAAGCCCTTCTAGATTGTTACCCAACCCTAGAAGAGTGAAAAAGAAATTGTAAAACTTAAAAATACCTGTTTTTTTTATCACAAAACAGCAACACAGAAAAACATGTGTAGGCAACGTCACACGATGTCACAAATAGCCTAAGGTAGCTGTCGCACAAGTAGCAAGGCTGCTGAAAGGTGTGGAAAGGTGTTGGCTCTGATACCAAGTAGAAATATATAAAAAGAAAAGAAAAGAGAGAATTGCGTAAAGGCTTGAATGAGATGAATTACCCATTCACAACTCTAATATTTATAGATAAAATGAGCACTTGCTCATATTACAAGAAAGAAAACTAAATCAAATCATTACATATTCTATGCCTAGACATATGCGTAAATAAGGTCAAATACACGATTTGTGGCTATCATATCTTACATATAATATAGTAAATCACATCACATAATTTGGGCCTATCATATCTCGACTATTATGATAAGTTATATTATAAATTGTGGTATCATAAATGTTAACAGCTAGTTTGGTTTATTTTTATTTTTTTGGTTTATGTTGAGAAGTCAAAGTGGGGGTAAAAAGTCATTTCATAGTGTCATAAGATCGGAGGGTAGTCAATGCCAAATTTTGAAATTTTAAGGAAGTGAGTTAGTTTTCATTGAAGCCAGGTTCATAGGGAATCCCGTGCAAAGTAGTCAAATGGATTCCCGTCCAAAAGAAAGAACTGGTTCGTTGATCCGCCACTGAATAGCGTTGATCAGAAAGTGTCAATACAATTTACAAATATTAAATTAGTAATGTCAGTCTTTTCGTGTCCAACGGAATTTTCAGGTCTCTAATAAATATTACCTACTGGAAAATTTCAAGCTCCTACAAATTCATTGAAGTTTTATAGTGATTTATGTTATTTCAGCACTTAGAAATCATAAACGGTAAGATCTCTTCTTTATTACTACAGGGCCCACTACTGAAAAAGAGAAATTCAAATAACTTTCACAATAAAAAAAGCTCTGCTAACTGTAGCTTTACAGTCCTTGTCTTCTTGTGCAAAAATTATTTTTGCTTTTGCTAATTTGACTTATTCGTGTAGAAACCAATAAAGATAGGGGATAAGAGAGGGATAGGAAGAAGAACAGAGGAGTCTGTCGTTGGATTTTATAAATCTTGGATGGGAGTTGGGGGCATCAATTCCATGTCATTTCCAATGGACACATAATTGAAGACCAGAGGGGTTGGGAAATTTCCAAAAAAATTTCAGACATAGTGGGGACCATTATAATACTGGACGAGAACTTCACACTCTTTGGGCTCTTTTTCAATTTCGAACTAGTTGGTCTTCGCGAAAGTGACCACTCATTGAGTCATGTCTGTCTTTATGGAGTCTGAAGCTTTTTCCTTCTTTTTCAATTTCAAACTTGTTGGTCTTCGCGAAAGTGACCACTTAATTCTGTTTTTATGAAGTCTGAAACTTTTTCCTTCTTTTTTAATTTTCTCTTTAAGAGCAACCCCAGTGCACCCATTGCTTTTCATTTACACTTTATATAAAGTGTGTAATTACATCATCAATTTTATATAAAATGTACAGTCACGTTAGCATTTAATTATATACTTATTTTAAAAATTCTAAATTTTTATTATGCACTCATTTTTTCATTATATATTTTATTATATTATTATTTTTTAAATAATTATTTTAATCCAATATCATCACACAATATTAATTTTTTTTATTTTATATCATTATTTCACACACATTCCCACACAATGGCCCACCATTATGTTACCCTTTCTGCTCAAGCCAGACGCTACTCCATTACTTAGCTGTGAAGAGTGGAGTGTGTAATATGAACTGGGTCTCACTAGTGTGTAATCCACACAGGAGCGCCATTCATTACACACAGACACACATATTATACACTTTGTCTTGATGCTGGGGTTGCTCTAACTCTCCCTAACCCACTATAAATATTGGTAGATCTAATAGTCAGATATACCCTCCATCTTAGAGCATTTCCAATGGGGCTGTCATATGGGCTACCAATTCAAAATATAGTAAGTTGGCTTAAAAATAGGCTCTCCAATGCAATGTTATTTTGGTTGCTATTTTTTAACTTTGCTATTTCTTATACCAATTGTAGCACAAGAAATAGCCGTAGCTATTTCAGAGGGAAAGAGAGGGGGGGGGGGGGGGTTTCAGATATATATATATATATATATATTGTGTGTGTGTGTGTGTGTGTGTGTATATATATAAAAGATCATAAAAAATTTCACCAAATAGGATTTAGTTTGCAAAACAAGAATTACAAACTTTGATTACAGAAAAAAAAAAGAAAAAAAGAATTACAGACCTTGATCATATAATAAAATTATAGAAAAAAAAATTAAAACAAAACCCATACATACAAGTTAGCAGTTGCAGAGAAAGAGAAGGGAGCAAGCTTGAGACAGCGGCTGAAGCTTGCGAACGCGAACCCGAACTCGAACAGCGGGATATGGAAACTGAAAGATATGGGTTTTGATTTTTTGAACAATCTTAAATGATATGGCCAATATGGGTTTCGATATAGCTAATAGGTTTTGGATTTTTGATTCTTGCAGACGATAAGATAAAGTTAAATATATGGGTTTTGAACATCTGATTCTTGTAGATTTTGTAGCTTGCAGTGGCAGAGAGAGAGAGAGGGGCAATTTCAGAGCTGTGAACGAGTGAATAGAGATGGACGCGATTTGTGAGGTTGAAATGATTTGCCCTAAAACTATATATATTTTGGAGGCTGAAATGATTTGTCCTAAATATATATATATATATTTTTAATATTAATATAATCAAATATATATAATATACATATATATATATATATAATATATATATATATAAATTTCCAAAAAAGATAAAAATATTATATAAAAAAAATTTATATAATAATATAATCAAATATATATAATATACATATATATATATAATATATATAAATTTCCAAAAAAGATAAAAATATTATATAAAAAAATTTATATAATAATATAATCAAATATATAAATTTATATATTTAATTATATTATTATATAAATTTTTTTTATATAATATTTTTATCTTTTTTGGAAATTTATATATATATATATATATTTGGTCTTTTTTGACAAGATATTTTAGATTTTTGATTCTTTTTAATTAAGTTTAATTTTAGTTTTCTTTTAATATTTACAATTTGACTTGGAATGTGCCTAATATTAACATTACTGATGCAAATATGAATGGTGAGAATGATAATTGAAAAAGAATAATGGTTGTGTTAAAAAATAGTATTTTCATTATTGGAGCAGAATTGCTAAAATGTAGCATTTTAACACTGTAGCACTGTCAAAATATAAATTTGGTATCCGAATTTGACATTTTAGCATTGGAGATGCTCTTAGCATTGAAATCTCTTTCTCACTACATCTCTCTCTAAAAGGCACCACATTTTCTCTTCAAACCCCATCTTACTTAAATCGGTAAGGTTTTGTTCAAGCATTCATTTGCCGTCTCTCTCAACTATCATCTTTTTGAACCGGTAAGCATCTCTCTTCTTGCTTTTTACTCTATTTTCATTTTTATTTCAAACCCAATATCATAGTCACCTAACCAACACCGATACTGTGACCATTTATTTTTTTTTGAAAGTTCAAGCAATTCAGTCACAAATTTATGAAAATTTCAGATAAATTTCTCTACTGTCCTGAATATCTATTTTTATTTTCTAATATCAGAAAATGAAGTATAAAAGTGAAATCATCAAGAAGAGTCATTAAATATTTTCATGAAATTCGTACCAATGTGGTTGAAAATTTGATTTTTGTCCTTTTGCTGGACCCCACTTGAAGCAAAATTTCCAATGTGGTGGTGTTTTTGTTCATTTCAAACAAAAGATTGTTTCTATGTACAGTATTAATTTCAAAACATTTTCTGAAGTACCTTACTAATAAGATTAATTAATGGTTCTTATTATTTTTCCCTCAATTGTATTAATGCAGGGGATGTCGCTTTTTCAACATATGGAGTTCAATGGGTTGAGTAGTGTCGGAAAATAGGTATATTACTTTGTGATTTTTTATTTGTTATACACCTTAGTTTGTATGAACACAACTAGATGATGGGTCGTTCCAAATTTTGATTTTCCACTGGTTTTCTGTATCAAGTTCCTGTTCACTAATTCCTTTGTTGTCGTTGAGATGAAAACTCACATGCACTACAATAGCGGTAGG